CAGACTGACCCCATAGTGCCCCGTGGTGACCCCGTGGTGCTCCATAGTGACCCCAAACTGCCCCAGACTGACCCCAGAGTGCCCCGTGGTGACCCCAGACTGACCCCAAACTGCCCCAGACTGACCCCAGACTGACCCCAGAGTGCCCCGTGGTGACCCCAAAGTGCCCCAGACTGACCCCAGAGTGCCCTGTGGTGACCCCAAAGTGCCCCGTGGTGACCCCAGACTGACCCCAGAGTGCCCCATGGTGACCCCAGAGTGCCCCGTGGTGACCCCAAACTGCCCCAAACTGCCCCAGACTGACCCCAAAGTGCCCCGTGGTGACCCCAAGCCCTGCTGTGACCCCCCAGGCTGGGCACCATCGCGGAGGTGGACCTGGGCATGGCCCCCCCGGTGATGAAGAGCTTCAAGGAGTTCCTGCTGTCTCTGGACGACGCCGTGGACGAGACGGAGGCGGTCAAGCGCTACAACGACTACAAGCTGGATTTCCGCCGGCAGCAGCTGCAGGAATTCTTCCTGGCGCACAAGGACGAGGAGTGGTACGTGCCGGGGGGAGCCTGGGGATGTGCTGCACGCCCCCCCAAAAAAGCGTCCTGCCTTCCCAAAAGCGCCGCTGCGTTCTGGGAGAGCGCGGGTCCGGAATGACGGCGCCTAAAAGAGGGCGTGTTCCCCAAAAAAAGGGTGTGTTCCCCAAAAATCGGCGTATTCCCTGGAAAACGGCGCCCCAAAAAAGGGTTGGCAGGCCAAGGAAAGCAGGGGGGTTCCCAGAAATAATTAGAATCCTGAAAAAAAAATAACCCCGCAATTGGCGTTTGGGAAAATGCGGTGTTGCAGAAATAATGCTGTGGCTCAGGAAAGTTTGGGGTCCAGAAAGAAAAAAATCGGGGTGCAAAGAAGATTTGGGTGCCAGAACAAAATTGGGGTTCAAAAGAAAAAGAAAAAATTAGAAAAAAAAAAAAAATTTTGCAGTCCAGAAAATTGTTATTCTGAAAAAGGTGCAAAAACAAAATTGCATCCACTTAAAAGAGTTTTGCGTGGAAAATAAGAATTGAAAGAAACTTGGCACAGCTCAGTAAAAAGTATTCTTTAAGAAGAGTTGTGCACGTAATAAACAATTTGCGTCCAAAAAATTTGATGCAGTTAGAAAAAAATTTAAAACTGGAAACACATTTGTGTTTTAGAAGGGACGCTGTATTCCCCTGAAAAACTACCCGAAAGAGAATCTGCAACCAAAAAAAATTGTGTCCCAGAAAATTCCTTTATCTCCCCCTTAAAATGGGTAACTCCCCCCCCCCAAAACATCTGCCCTTGAAAAAGAAAAATTCTGTAATTCTGAAACAGAATTCTGGATTTCCAAAGCAGTGTCTGCATCCCAAAAATACTTTCATTCCCCAAAAAAGTGCTCCAATTCCAAAAAAACCATTCTGGACCCCAAAAATCTTCCCCAAACTCAAAGTGGGGGGGGGGGGGTCTCCCCCTACCCCTCCCCTGCGGGGGTC